GACTGGCTTTGAACTCACTGTGGAGCCCAGGCTGGCCTCAACCCCACTGGGATCTTCCTGCCTCAGCCTTCTGAGTGCTGGGGTTATAAGCATCCACTACTAAAGATGAAGAAACTGAAATTTGGGTTTGTTTTGTTTTTCAAGACAGGGTGTCACGATGCGGTTCAGGCTGGTCTAGAATTCACTGTGTAGCCGAGGCTGGCCTTAAACTCACAGTGAGCTTTCTGCCTCAGCCTCCTGAGTGCTGGAATTACAGGCATGTGGCACCACCCCCAGCTCCGGAAATTTGTACTTTTCTTGGCTTATCAGGGGCATTAATTACTCTATAAAATTTGTCTTCCCTCTTCGTTCCCTTTATCTTCCAAACCACTCCATTGTCTAGTTTTTGTTTTGTTTTGTTTTTTGTCTTTTTGACACAGGGTCTCGCTATGCAGTTCAGGCTGGCCTTGAGCTCACTTTGTAGCCCAGGCTGGCCTCAAATTTGAAACAATCCTCCTGCCTCAGCCTCCCAAGTGCTGGGATTACAGGTGTGTGCTACCACGCCCGGCCTAAAGCAACTTTATATCCTTGGCCCAGACTCTCCAGTTACTCCAGTGAGTTCCCTAAAATCTCACTGATCCTTTATGTGAACCCACAGTGAACGTCTTCACTTTGGAATTGCCTTTTTTTTTAGAGTGTGGCGTTGCCAGAGCTCATGCTTTTGGGAAGTGATGGCTGCCTGAGGAATGATCTCAGTTCTGAGAGCTAAGCAGGGAAAATGGTTCAATTTTTGTGTGTGTGTGTCAGGGATCAAACTCAAGACCTTGCACTTGCCGAGCAGGCACTTGTGCCACTGATCTACATCCCTGGCCACTAAGCAGGGAAAATGGCCTTAAGGGTAAAGGTGAGAGGCCCTAGGCTTAGGTAACAGGGCAGAGTCTTTCAGCACAAACTTAGGCAAAACTTCAGAAGTTAGGTGGATTCTGGGAAAGAGCAAAGAATAGGAATCCAGGCCCACCACCTACAGAAGTGCTCTAAGGTCAACAGAATCAGGTGATGTCCTTGTGGCAGAGAAGACTTTCCCGAGGGGAGGACCAGGGAAGAGGGGAGCTGGAGAGAGGGACGTCTGGGGCTTTGGCCGCAAGCTGCAACTGGGGCCCAGGGTAACCTCAACACTTTTGCTTAGGTAAACACTTGGGAATAGCCTTGAAAAGAGTTGATGTAAGCCAGAATCTTATCTCCTGGGGATTAAACCTAGGGCCTTTGCGCTGAACTATAATTCCAGACCTTTTTATTTTTTATTTCAAAACAGTCTTGCTACATTGGCCACTTTGGGCCCAAACTTGTGATCCTCCTGAGTATAGCCTTCAGGGGCAGGATGACAGGTATATACATACCACCATGCCTGACTGTACCTTCGATCAATTATGTAGAAAAGCCCAGGATGCTTGTACCCCTCTTACTCATCTTTCTACTTGTCCCAGATTTAGACCAGCAGATAGCCAGAAATGGGGCCTGCCCATCCCTACCAGAATTCGGAGTCGAGTCACAGCTGCAGACACCGTGTACAAACCAGCCATAGCCGTGTCCTTTTATTAAGCCATTGGGATGGGGTTAGCGATGGAGTTTTCACGGCCCTGCCTTGGAGGTGAGCTCAGCAGCTGCTGCAGTCACTGGGGTAGGTGTCCCAGTGCAGGCCGATGGCATCGATGAGGGACCCGGATCGGCCGCTGATGAATCGGAGTACAGTGTTGGGGTACAGGGGGAGGGCGTTGAAACTCGTGCCTGTGTCCTTCCCGAAAGGCAGGTAGCGGCCCTTGTCCGTCACAAAGACCAGCTTCCTCAGGTAGAGCTTGTATTTGCCGGAAACCTGGATCACTGACTCCCCGGGGTGCAGAAAGATCTCCTCGAGGTCTCCAGATTTGCCGCCCACGTAGTCGCTCCACACCTTCCCATAACGCACCTGTAGCCTGGGTGTGCGGGAAGAGGGGAGGAAGGGAGATGCTCAGTAGGGTGAGAATTCCCGCCCTCTTGGCCTTTAAGCGGGTGAGAGACAAGTCCCCCGCTGTTCGCACAGCACGTGAAGATGGGTGAGCCCCAGGAAGTCGTGCAGGGAACTCCAACTCATTTTGCCAACAGACAGCCTCATAGAGGAAAGAGCAATAGCGCAGAGTCACCAAACAGCAAAGGTCAGAGCTTGCATTTGGATTCCAGGGTCCTACTGTGCCCCAACCCCACTGGAAAGAAGCAAAAGGAGCCAGGCGTGATGGCACAGGCCTGTCATCCCAGCACTCGGGAGGCTGAGGCAGGAGGATCATAGCGAGTTTGAGACCAGCCTGGGCTACAAAGTGAGCTCAAGGCCAGCCTGAACTGCATAGCAAGACCCTGTCTCAAAAAGACCAAAAAAAAAAAAAAAGAAGAAGAAGAAGAAGAAGCAGCAGCAGCAAAAGGATTTTCAAACATCCGAAGTCTCCTGCGTGGGCGATGGATAAGACGCGGCATGTTGTCTCAGGATGCAGAACCCAGGTCAGGAGGAAGCGCACTTTGGTTCTGTGTAGGATAGACGTTTCTGCTGTCTGAACTGAACGGGAACATCTCAGGGGAGGCACCAAGCAGAGATGGAAGGTGCCCGGCAGGAATAAAGAAGGCTTCCACCTTGTCCAGCTGAGATCCTAGAAGGTCCCCAGACCACAGAAATTCAAAAGGCCCTTACCCTACAATGAAGTATCTGTTGACTCTGACACGGAGGGCAGTGATAGGGCCTTCCAGCTGGTACCCCGAGTGGGAGAAGCGCTTTCCTCCACCACCTCCATACTCTCCATTATAGGAGGAGGCCCTCGCCTGGACTGGAGGGAAAAGACACGGGAGCTCAGCTGCCGCCACCACCCCGACCTTCCCACTGCCCAAGCCTGCCTCCTTGAGGCCTGGGCCGGCAGCCGTACAGGGCCCCTTCCCACGTCCATCCGCACTACCAGACTCCGGGCTCCGCACTTACGGGCGCTGGCAGAGGTGGAGGCGCAAAGCAGGACGAGGAGAGCGGTGGCCAACATTCCGGGGCTGGAGTGCAAAGAAAGGAGAGCATGAAGCCTCGTTCTGCTCCCTCTGCGCCTCGCTCTGCTCCCTCTGCACCGCGTTCTGCTCCCTCTGCACCGTGCTCACCCAGGCATCCCTGCCTCCAGCTCAGGCTGGAGCTTCTCAGTCCTTCAGCTGGCATCCAGCAGACGCAGTCGTGAGCTTAGAGAGGACTCCAGTGATACTCCAGTTCCTTTTAGATACCCTCTTCTAGGTCCCTAACTCCTCTGGCTCTCCCTGCTCTGGCCATAGCCAACTCGCCCTTTCCCTCCCAAAGGAAAAGACCAAGCCTAACCGTCCTGACTGAGCTGGGTCATGCCCCATTCTATCCTAGCACAAGCACAAAAGAGTTTGCTGGGGGAGTGGAGGACATCGCCAAAGCACAGAGATGGCTGAGTGCCCCAAGCCAGGAATCTGAGCAAAACCTAGCTAAAGTCAGGCAGTAGTAGATTAGCTTGACTTTGGGGCATCAGGACATGGTTAAACCCCTAGCTTCACCCTTGTCTCAAATCAGAAAGAAAGCATGACCAGGCGTGGTGGTGCAGGCCTGTAATCCCAGCACTCGGGAGGCTGAGGCAGGAGGATCGTTGTGAGTTCAAGGCCAGCCTGGGCTACAAAGGGAGCTCAAGGCCAGCCTGAACTGCATAGTGAGATCCTGTCTCAAAAAGACAAAAAAAAAAACAAGCAAGCATGTTAGTGGTGCCCATGTGTCACATTGGCAGTGAAGGTAGAGATAGAAGGACACTGCGACACCAGTGTCCAGTCAGTTCTGGTGGAACTGAGATAGATTGAGAAGTTGCAGAGGGAGTTGGGGTGAGCTCAAGCTCCTAGACCCAGATGCCTGGTCTCCTTCTCATAATCCTTCCGCGTATATATACAAACCTGGCCATTTCCATGGCCCTCAGCATCCCACGTGCCCCATTCCATTAGCTGAAAGCAGACCCCTTTGTGCTTAAGACTAGCTCAGCCACCCTGCTGCTTGATCCAGGCATCCTCTTCGCCACCTTAAGCTTGAATGCCCGCTAAGTCTGACCCAGACATGTTCATCAGCCCTCACCTGGCAGTTCCAGATGGGAAATACCCCCTAGAAACCTCCAGGTCTTTTATAGCAGGTTCAGACGCTCCCTCTGCCCTTTATTGTGTGAACCTCACCTCCTGAATAAACATGATCCACCTCCTAGGACTGGGTATCAGCAGGGTCTGGGACTTCCTATCTTGGTTCCCCTCAAAGGTTACAGGTGGCAAGGTGCGGTCTCCTCTGGGCCAAGTGCCAAATGTCACTGAGGTGGAGCAGATAAACTTGAGAAAACTCACCTGCCAAAGGGCCAGAAACTTCAGGGGAACAAAATAGCTAGTCACCTCTGAGGTACAATCTAAGGGGCTTCTGGAAGGTTCTCCCTCCCCTAAAATACCTTAGGTCTCATGTGAAATCTGCCAGGTGCCAGGATAAACAGTGCCCACTCCAGGCATTTGAAATGCAGATGCTTCCAGGGGGAGCATATCCCCCACGTCCCATACTGAGCAGTGACTACTATGCCTGACGATTTCCCTCCTTCCCTGGTATTTTATTATGACAAAATGCAAACATATGATAACTTTGGGGCTGGGGATATAGCTGAGCGGCACATGCACCTGCCTGGCAAGTGCAAGGACCTGAGTTCGATTCCTGGTACCAAAAAAAAAAAAAAAAAATGATAAGTTTGAAGAATTGTGTAGTGAAAACCCACGTGACCACCACATAGCGTCTGCCATGATGAGTACCTTGCCACATCGCCCCCACTGTGCGTGCAGCTACCCATCCTCAGCCTGCCAGGCCCTTTTCAGATGTGTCCTCTCTGAGAAGGGTGACTTGTGACTGCCCCTTCTCAGAGACGGTCATTCCAGCGGGGAAGTCGGACGCTGAGGAAGTAAGGGCACACGGCCCCCCTGGAAGTGGGTAGTGTTGGGCTTGGGCCTGTGGGACTCCTGGGCATCGCAGTCATAGCCCAATCTGGACAGCTGCTCCTTTGCTTGGGTCTGAAACCTGCACCGTGCTGTCATAGATTTCTGTTCTTTCTAAGCCCTTCTCTTCCAGGACTGATTCCTTTTGACCTCAGATCCGTAGAAGTGACCCTGATCCTCGCCTGGCCCCGCTAGCACTGGCTTTCCGAGCCCTCGGGTCAGCAGGGCCTTCCTTGGTGAGAGAAGCCGGAGGGCAGGGAGGGGCTGGGGTGGGCAGTCAGTCCTAAGTGCCTGGTAGCCGAGCACTGAGCACTCCACCCTGCCCCTTCAGGCTCACCGTCTGGGGCTGTGGTTTAAGCCCAGATGGCAAAGCGAGCCCTGCCCTGAGGAGCAGGGAGGAGCATTCCTGAGTGGCAAGTTTCCGGTAGTGGAGCCAGACAGCCGCCAGCTATGCCCTGTCACCTCTCCCTGCTCTCCTTCTCCAAGTTCAAGATAAGCGTATCTTGGTGATGTAAACATTATCTGATTCTGATG